AATCAACACTACGGACTCTTCTTTGTAGCCAACGTAAAACCACAATGCTCAAAGAGAGCAGAAGGAAAATACTGTTTTCAGCCACATTTTTTTTTTTCAGTGCACACTAAAATGGTAAATGTTCTGTGGTTAACCCCCTCTCAGTCTTTGACAGCACTTTCCTCTGGATGGTAGTCTCTGTGGTACATACCACGTCATTTAGCAGTCACTATAAAGGTATAGCAGTAGTGCTGTGGAGAAGCATTAGTGGTCTGCTCAGTAACAGCTTACTCATGGACAGCTAACCTATGAAACCACAAGGCCACCTTTCAGAAGGAGGTCAGAAGGCTGCAAGCCACATACAAGATGCCACCTGTGAACTTTGCTGCAAAACACATTGTTACAACACAAATTTGGAAAAATATTAGCAACATTAGTAGTTTCAGCTTTTTTGCCATTTCTTTACTAGCAAACTGTTCATGTGCACTCCCCATCAGATTTCCTGGCCAAAAGCCCATTTCTTCCAGTTCTTTTAGTTTTGCAGTTATCTCAGGTAAGCTCTGAATTCTCTAAAACTGTCCAGGCTATTTTATTAAAACCAGCTCTAAGTTATTCTAATCATAAAGGCCAAGACTTAAAATGTTGTATGAGTTAGGAAAATCTAAAAGAATTTGCCTCCTCACAGCGAAAGAGAAAATGGAAGAATAAAATTGGTGACTATCCATGCTACTTTCTGGCTTATCTTCCCCACCTGGTAGGACTGACAAGGTCTGTGTCATAGAGAGGGAAGCAAGTTGCCATTTTTAGATTGTTTTTGGAATCCACAGTCTTCCACAAAAAAATGTAATTGTTTTGAAATGAGGAAAAATATATGTGAATGATGTAAAAATATTCCACTTAAACACAGAAAGATTGCTGGGAAAAGACACTTCATAAATTGAAGTTTTATTAGAATACACACTGCTAACAACTGGCAAAAATGTCAGAAGAAATGCTGATCATGAGGAAATCAACACCGCTAGCTCACACCCCTATCAAAGATCTAGCACTGGGGGCCATAAGTCGGGTTATTAAAGTCTTTTTTCAAGATTGATTAAAGTTCATTTTAGTAACATCAGCAGGGAACCCTGGCTCAAATGATCTTAATATTGAGAGTGCTAAAGATTGCAGTCTTCTAGCAGAAAATAAAAGTGCGTTCCTCTAGGCCTTCTTGCAAATACAGAACTCACAGCGCATTCAATCATTAGAAAGGCCTGTCAGTGGAAATATTTTTACTTTAAAAATTCTCATAAAAAGAACACTAGGAAATGTTCTTTCTGACTTCCTCTTTCTCAAGCTATAAACTTTAATCATCCTCTTTCTCTTAGCCGATCTCCTGAGATATATTAAACTGCAGAGACCTGCTCTTACAGATTTCTGAGACCGGCCAATGTTTTGTACAACTGGTACCAATAGAGATCTTAAAAGGGGATCATCCAGTAAACCTTTGGAGACTTCAGGGCTCAGGACCCAGCATTGTTTAATGTGCGCTAGGGATTTTCAAGAGAGAACTATTGGGAGTCCCCCTCTATTACAGCTTGTAGCAAGACAAAGAAAGATTTAATGAGGACAGTTCATTGAAGAGATGTACGGTTTTCTACGAATTTAGAAAAAAAGTCTTCAGAATGAGGAAAAGAGTGAGGTGGGAGGAAGATATTCAGAAACTCGAGAGAGCTGTATTCATTTCACAATAGAACAACAAATTTTGTTCATCCTCTTGTGCAAATAACCTGATAAGGATTTTAGAAAAATGACAGTACTCCTGCATTCAGATGCTTCAGTAACTATTTAGACTTTCAAAGGCAAACTACAAACCAGCTGTTGGTCTACCTGGAAATGTTACAAGATGAGCTGATCCATGCTGAATGCTTTTAAGTATCCAGTTTAGACTGTCCAGGGTATACATCTTAAAATATTCACATCTGTGTTTCACTTCCACACCTGTAAAATATTATGTTCCTACCTTTATGAACTGAGGAGAACAAATTTGTAATGTACATGAACCAGCTTCGAGAATCTTCAGTGGTAAGATCACATCAGTATGTAGACTGACGGGGGGAATCTGTTTCCTGGGGACACACATCCTACTTCTGGCTTTGAACTGTAAACCTTGAAAGCACAATCATGAGATGCAATGGTAGGATAGGTTGTTGTAAACTCTGCAGGAATTCTAGCCTCTGGGCCAGTTTTGTACAGCTTTCTTTAAGTGAAAAAAGTGTCCCCTTTCACATGTGTCTGTGTTGAGTTCAACTGTTCAATGTGCATGTTATAATACTGTATCGTATTATAAAGCAGAGGCATTTAGATCAAGATCTGATTTGTCTTCCTGAACTCAGCAATGCTCTTTGACTGCAACAGGATACTCAATCTAATAATTCAAATCCTTGTTTTGAGAGATTAAGATTCTATGTCTATATGGACATCCTAAACTGTCTTTAAACTCCTAAAAATGTCTTAAAATTCCCTGCATCTACTCATTAAGGTCTGTAGCTTGCTTAAAACCTAACTAAAAGATTTGGGCTTGCATGCTTTAGGAATAATGTATCAATTCTCAAGACTAAAGTCCTGGTACTCCCAGATCATCCTGGGAGCTTAAAAGTAGCATTCCAACAGAAGGAACACAGCATTTCGTGAATGTGTTTTCCCAGAGCCATTTGGAAACACTTTAATTCACTGCCCATAATGATATTGGCACAGGTGGTGACCTGAAACACCTGCAAAAATCCTCCTTCATGCCTCAGCTGGATCCAGCAGATGCTGGAAGTAAAAGGCCAGGCCAATAGGAGTGTAACACACACTGACTCTACATTTTGCAGCCATTTTTTTTCAGAGTTATTTACATTTGTTAAATTTAAAAGGCCCATCAGGAAGTCCTTTCAACAGCTTTCTGCAGACATATACAAGTAAAAGGAAATCAGATTATTAATGCTAGAATACTATCCTTAAACCAGGCAGGAATCAGGCACGCTAAAATGTAAGTTACATATTTTCAACCTTAACCTATGACAAGACACAGCTATATAGGGCTGCACTCTTGTAGACAACTCAAGGCACACATAAAAAGTCCATACTCGGATATTTTCTTATGGATAGATCTGTGTGAACGTCTTTGGTTAATGATCATATATTTTATATATATTTTCCACTAAATATAACAGCCATTAATGTAGCATTCAACTCATTATCCATACTCTCTACATTGCCACATCAACATTTTATTTGAAGTATTAGTGATAGCATCCCATCAAAATTTAATAGCAACTGTCTACAGCTGAAGCATATTAACTCTTGCTTTCACCCATGGTTATGATTTATTTTTCTCCTTTTAAAATGCTAATGATATTAAAAATAAAGTACCTTTCTACAGCATGACTCAGAAATGCATAATATTCTTTTCTTCAACTCATGGTAAAGGAAACAGGCACAAGCAAAGGCAAAAGAATTCTCTATTCTAGTCTATAGCTTTATACTGAAATCTTACGTGTCAAATGAACAGGGCTTTTAGAGGAATGTCAACAACTGTAACACTTACATAAGATACAGTTAGAAAAATATTTTGCAAAGAATGACAGTTTCTTTCACATGAGAAGATGATTTATACTTCAGTTTCAGAATGTAAGCAGTCAACATGTGACCTGACATTTGCTACAGGAATTAAAGAGACGTTCAGCAAGATTACAAAAGGAAAAGCATTAATCGTCCTACACCAGCAGTTCCTCTCTGTACTAGTGAAAGATCTCAGCATTAAGCAATAATAATAATAATAATAATAATAATAATAATAATAATAATAATAATAATAAAATAGAGAGGTCACAAGAACAGATCTCCCTTTTGGCATTTCATACTAACTTGCTCAATTTATGAAGGCCATCTGGTGCTGTTTATGCTGGCCTTTTTTGCATTGTCTCTTATATTGTTCTTTATGGATGAGCATGATTCACAGTTCACATTAACTGTGTGTTTTAAGTGACTCTGCAAGAGAGTATGACTGTTAAAGCTGTGTGTAAAGAATGCATAGCTGTTGATGTATACATATGAATATATATGTACATATAAGAATATGGTGAAAAGAACACCAAATGTGATTATTTTGGATGTCCAAATAAGAAAGGCAGCAGGTCAGGTGAGCTATTATATACTTCCTATATGACTTGAAATGAGCCCTTTGGGGCTCATTTTTATCACTTGTTAAATCAAGTTCATAATTCCCTATCTCACAGTGATACTGTAAGGCTTGTTCAGTAATGGGTTCAATTCAATGCTGGGCAGATGGTCAATACAAATTTTATGCATCACTGAAGTACCATTTAACCTCAGATCTTAAGTGGCATATAGCCTTTTGCCAGCCTCTTAGCAGCCACTGTATAAATATTATATATTCACATTACTGAAAATATTTGAGGGACATGAGTTGTCAGTAGTGCTGATTTTGCATTCCTCGAGTTACAAATCTGCAGAACAACACATTCTGAGAACACATCCTTCAGAAGCAGTGCAAAACACGTGCTAGCACATCTCTTTGTAGTGGTTATATATACAGAAGAAAAGAGGAAATAGTGTAACTCCTGCACTGAGTGTCAAAGTGCAGTGATTTAAATGAATCCATAAAACAATTACTTTAAATAATCCTGCAAGCCTCAGGAATGACCATTGATAGTATCTGGAAGGATTTTTCTGGTGTTGGGAGAAGGGTTGTTTTCCTGGCCTCTGCCAAAAACACAACTCATGGATGTGACTGCCTCTTACCTCTAGAAATTACAGCTACAATTCAACACATTAATGACTTTAAAGATGTATCTTAAAGATACTTATAAAAATATATGCATCCTCTGGCAATCAAACAAAAGAAAAAAGTTCTTTTCAAAACACCTTTTTCAAGGTTTCAGAGGACTATTTTTAAACTTTATTGCCAGAATTAATCTACCATGAAGACCTACATGCCGGCAAGAAATAACCTCCAGTGTGATTGCTACACACACCTTGTCATTTCCTTTGCATAGGTGACCAATCCTCACATCTTTCCGCTTCTAGCTTGGTTAGCGCTCATCTTAGAACTTGGTTCCCCAGTAAGTCATTCTCTGTTTCAAAAAGGAAGGAAGAAAAAAAAAAATTAAAATATGTATGTTATCATTACGAGGTGAAAAAGTGAGAAACTGACATACAGATAATAAATGCAGGCTTTCCAAAGCCTTTTCTATATTCAAGGAATGTGCTTCAGTAGAAGGCCAGTATCCCACTTCAAACTTATTTTGAAAGCCTCAATTGAGGGTAAGTGAGGTATTAATGGCACTTTGTTGATGGATGACTTTACCCTCAGGAAAGTACTATGAGTTTAGATTACTAAGACTAATCAATTTAGCTGCTACTAACCTTGAAAGGTTCAAGTAAAATAGCGTCCCTTACTTTTACAGCCAGGTGATTTTAAAGAAAAGTTATCAGATACATTTTTTTCAATGTTTACTCCTGAATATTGGACTTGTTAGCAATCATTTGAAATTACTATGCCTACTGGTAGGAGAAAGATTAACTGCGCTCTGACTAATCAACCAGGCAAGGACATCAATACATTAGGTATAAATTAGTCATAACATGTAGTATTCAGTAGCTTAGTCTCAGTAGTGAGTGATACTAGTATTTTCTGGATAATGCATTTATATAATTAATACCTTTGAAAATACTTTGTAATCATACTTAGATATAGAAACCACTAATTACACATAAAAAAAACCATATAATATAGTGAAATAACAATCTTTGTTTTCTTGTATTGTGATAGTGATAATACTACTAGGAATGTGACACAACACTAGATAAATTATTCTAGGTAATGCCCTAAGAAGTGAGGCTATGATTGTTCTCTGCCTGTTCAGCAGATTGCATTCTAATTCTATTCACTTATTATTGAATCCTGTTTTCTTCAGCTAATTCTGCTACTTTATTGAAGAAAGGTTACTTTTACCCACAATGTCCTTTAAATTTGCATACATACAACAGCCCACCAAATCTCCTTGAAAACTGATTTCCTCCAAAGAGAGATTGGAGAGATTGGAATCCTCCCATTTTGGCATTTCTTTGCCTATAACCACCATAACATGTAAGTGCCTCACAACTCCTGCTGCACTCTACCCTCACAATTTCACAGCAGAAAAATTATTGTCTTTGCTCATGGAAAAAGAAGATGAAGAGAGAGAAAAGATGTACCTCATCTAACTTTAGGCACTTAACTGTCTAATTAAAGAGAATAGAATCGTATATCGTGTCAGTTGGTACAGGGTCCAGGGCAAAATCTGTAGTACATGTCTAACATACGTAACCTGAATCAACCCCTTAGGAGTCTCTCTCTTTTTCTGTCTTCATACCAGCAGCTTAGGAACAACAATTACCTACACATGCACCTAAGCTGTATCTAAACTCAAGTCAATATACCCTTCACTACAAGACAAAGAGCTAAGTCCACTAATGACTTAATCACAGAACCACAGAATTGTAGGGGATTGGAAGGGACCTTGAAAGGTCATCGGGTCCAACTTCCCTGCCAAAGCAGGTTCCCAGTAGGTTCTGGTAGGCATCCAGACGGGCCTTGAATATCTCCAGAGAAGGAGACTCCACAACCTCCCTGGACAGCCTGTTCCAGTGCTCCGTCACCCTCACTGTGAAGAAGTTCTTTCACATGTTGGTGCAGAACTTCCTGTGCTCTAACTTGCAGCCATTACCCCGTGTCCTGTCCCCACAAACCACTGAAAAGAGGTTGGCCAAATCCCTCAGTCTCCCACACCTTGGGTATTTATACACATTGATGAGATCCCCTCTCAGTCCTCTTTTCTCCAGGCTGAACAGACCCAGGTCTCTCAGCCTTTCCTCACTGGGAAGATGCTCCAGGCCCTGGACCATCTTTGTGGCTCTCCACTGGACTCTTTCCAGGAAATTCCTGTCTTTTTTGTACCGGGAAGCCCAGAACTGGACACAGTACTCCAGGTGAGGCCTGACCAGGGCAGAGTAGAGGGGGAGGATCACCTCCCTCGACCTGCTGGCCATGTTCCTTTTAATAAATGCCAGGATACCATTGGCCCTCTTGACCACCAGGGCACACTGCTGGCTCATGGTCAACCTGTTGTCCACCAGGACCCCCAGGTCCTTCTCCTCAGTGCTCCTCTCCAGCAGGTCGTCCCCCAGCCTGTACTGATTTGTCCGGTTGTTCCTTCCCAGGTGCAGGACTCTACACTTGCTCGTTAACCTCATTTGGTTTCTTCCTGCCCATCTCTCCAGCCTGTCCAGGTCTTGCTGAATGGCAGCACAGCCTTCTGGCATGTCAGCCACTCCTCCCAGCTTTGTGTCATCGGCGCACTTGCTGAGGGCAGACACTATTCCCTCATCAAGGTCGTCAATGAAGATGTTGAACAAGACCGGACCCAGCACTGACCCCTGGGGAACACCGCTAGTCACAGGTCTCAGCTGGACTCTGCGCCACCCATCACCCATCGCCCATCATCACCTGAGTTGACAGAGCTTGGCTGGTCAGCCAGTTCTCAACTCACCTTACTGTCCACTCCTCTATCCCACACTTTCTCAGCTTTGCTAGCAGGATGGAGACAGTATTGAAAGCCTTCCTAAGTCAAGGTAGATGACATCCACTGCTCTCCCCCCATCTACCCAGCTGGTGATGATGTCATAGAAGGCAACGAGGTTGGTTGAGAACGACTTCCCCTTGGTGAATCCATGCTGAGTACTCCTCATAACCTTTTCTTCCAATTGCTTGGAGATGGCATCCAGAACAAGCTGTTCCAACACCTTTCCAGGGACAGAGGTGAGACTGACTGGCCTGTAGTTTCCCGGATCCTCCTCCTTGCCCTTCTTGAAGATTGGAGTGACACTGGCTATCTTCCAGTCTTCAGGCACCTCTCCTGTTCTCCAGGACCTTTCAAAGATGATAGAGCGCAGTTTGGCAATCACCTCTGCCAACTCCCTTAGCACACATGGATGCATCCCATCGGGACCCATGGATTTGTGTGCGTTGAGCCCACTCAGACGCTCACAAACCACTCTCTCATCAACCAGGGGGGAGCTCTTCATTTCCCAGACCCTTTCTCCTCCCTCCAGGGTCAAGGAGTCCCACGGGGGGGAGTCCTTGAAGCAAAGACTGAAGCAAAGAAAGCATTCAGTATCTCTGTCTTCTTGACGTCTCCCGTCACCAGGACACAGCATCCTAAAGATTAGAGTTTGAGTTACCCACTGTCAGATTCTTGGCCATGGAATGAAATATAATAACGCATCAGATTTCTCCATACAATCTGCAGGGAGAGCTAAGAATTTCAGATTGGCATCCCCATTGTGGATATTAGATAGGTTTTCACACCAATGTCTATTCACTATTACAACCCTCTCTTTCCGTGAAGATATCAATCATGTTAATGTTATGTTTCTGTAATTTTTTTTTTCTTTTTGCATTACATCCCAAACTAATTTTCAATTTTATTTTGACCTGTATCATTATCATTCTTTCATTCCACAGTTTACCCTATATGCCTCTCAATTTTTTCCTTTGGTAAGATTTTTATCTCTTTTATTGCTGCTTCCATAGTTCACCTAAGTAGTAAAATAGTCTGGCTCATTTTTGTCAAAGCCAACATCATAGCAATGCTTAACTTTGCTTTTGTGGTCAGAGATCAGCTCCTCTTCTACTCTTTTGGTGACACAATACTTTGCTCTCTATTTAACTTACTCTGAACTGTGCTAGTACATCTGTGTGCCATTCTGCACAGCTGAAATAATTTATTTAAATTGTCACATGGTTTATTAATAAAGAGGAAAAATGCATGTGTATATTTTTCCTTAAAAAAGAATACAGGTACTATACAAAATGTATATCATATAGTCCTTACCCCCAGTCAAACCATACAGCAAATGGGAACCCACAGACGGCAAACAGTCCAGACACAAGATGGGACAGAAATACTGCAGATAAAGAAATGCTGCAAACTTGACTGCCTTAAAGCTTTAAAAAGAATATCTGTTGATATAGTGCCATACTGAGATTTTATAGACATGGTTTGCAGACTGTTCCATTAATACAGTAGACTATAATCTTGCAGGTGTTTAGGCATGAAGAACTTAGTCATGTCAGTATTTTCATGACCAGGTCTTAAATTCCTTCTTGAGAGAGTTAATAAGAAACCACCTCACTCCTATATTCATAATCAAAGAGCAGCAGTTGCCAGATACTTCTTTTCTTGAAGCATGAGAACGTACAACAAGAAACACCATATTAAACTTCTGTCTGTTTTCTGATAACGCATAAAGTCTATGTTTCAAGGCCTTCAAGGACTTACTTATATATTTAATTCAAATTAAAATTTTCTATGTATTGTTCTGAATTGGGACATTACTGAACTTCAGATACATTGCTTCCTGATCAAAAAATACTATGTTCTTATCATTATCATTGCAAATAAAAGCAAAAAAGAGAAGGCAAACAGCAGGAGTGTGCAGTATTCGAGATAGTAAAGTGATACAGCCTGAGAGCCAGGAAATTTACAATAATGTGTATCTGGAAAAGAGAGTAAAATTGATTGTCCTTTGTACTTAATATCTGCACAAGGAGGTAGTTAAGCTGTTCTACACTTATTTATATCTGAAGTCCCAGAGCTGGTGTTGGTTCCTCCAAAGCACCAAAAAAGGGTGCTGAACACAACCTCATGGATTAGTAGCCGACAGTGGAAATCAGTGTACCTGTTTTAGCTTAAACTGAGAATATTTTTGAAGGTCATTGGGATAAGCCACCTTTTTAACATGGCAGATTTCAGTAACGCGAGCTTTTGGCTTCCCTGCTGTGCACAAACTTTTACATTTCCTGTCTTTCACTGAGACCACCTGTGGTTCACTTAACCAACAATCTAACCACAACTGGAAGTACAGATCTGTATTACCAACTACACGATGTTACCCCTACTGTCATGACCAGAATGGAGTTTATTGCTCTAAAATGGTTTACTAATACTTGCTATTTTGAGAGAGGAGTCTGAGTCAACAAAAAGTGATTTGAGCTCTAAATGAGCCATTTGGTCACCTCAGTGTCAGGTTT